ACTTCTTCTACAAACCTTTTGTTTTTAATTGAAGAAAATAATTCACACTTTTAAAAATCAAAATCAAATCCAAGCTCCTAATTGAAACCAGGAAAAAAGTGATTGAACTCAAGACAAATATCTGACAAGCATTTGTGCTTTTGTGTACTTTTCTATGTATTTTCTTGTCTTTCTTATTCCCTTTTTTCCTCTGTTTTCTTTTATCTTTTCACTCTATCTCCTTCTGTAAAAGAATCCATCACACCTCCGTCACTTCCTGGTGGGCGTGGCCTCCACCTTCTGGGCAGGCTGTCATTGGTTGGCCAGTCGGAGCTGGAGGAAGTCAGCGGCCTGCCCAATCACTATCACTCGTCCGATCACCTCCCTCTTCTTGCTCGCTTCCGCTTCCGGCGCTGACCTGGGGTCGTTGGACGGCCAATCAGAACAGGTCTCAGCCTCAACGCTAACAGTGCAGCTCAGGGAAGACAGGAGGGTTTAACCACCACGCACAATAATCAAAACTACGTTCGAGTCGGCACACGTGTGCTGCCTAAAGAAAAGGGATTAAATTCAGTTTTCCAGCAAACAGCTGTGAAGCACAGTTACAGATGTTTAGGTGTGTCAGTTATTTCTCTGCAGGGAACAAACTCTCTTCTCTAAAACTCTGCTGGCTGATGAAATGGTGACGTCCAAGAAGAACCTTCACTTAAATACACTTAAATCAGCAAGTTTGTAGGCATAAGGTGGTGTGAGTAAAATCTTCCCCACAGTGTTGCTAAAGTGCAAAATATGAATAAAAACTACAAATACTTGAATGCAGCATGTCCAAAAGTTCACTGAAGGCTGAAATGTTTCTGGTTTGGACGTTTTGCATTTAAGCATTTGAGTTTGTGTTTTATTTACATTTTTAGAAGAATTTTTAAGATTTAAAGAAATCTGTCAGACTGAGTGTTCAGATCATCTTCAGGGCAGAAGAATGATGTTGCACATGCCCAGTTCCTGTTTGTTATCAAGTTGATGTTAGAAACCAAAAGAACAGTCGAATGATTTTGTCCTTTATGTCGTTATTGTTATCGTTGACTAATAATGAATCATTGTCGGGGTATTGAACAACCATAAGGATTGTTTTAGACCGGTTCATGCGGCTCTCTGTAGCAACTAAAAATGTTGAGGAAAACAAACATCGCCTGTATGTAGAAACATGGATTATTCTTCACGACCAAAGCTAACATTTCATTTGATTCTTAATCGTTCCCCTGTTGTAGAAAATGTTTACTTGCTTTCTTTTTTGCAGAAAAACCACTTGTATTTAAAACTGCTTTGTTTCAAGAATTTATGAGGGGACAGATTTTTACTCTGTTTTTTAAAGTGTGAACATTATCACTTGAAGTTAAAGTGCTGCTGAAGAGTAAAACTACTTGATCATTGTGTTTCTCATGATAGATGGCAGAGCTACTAACACAACATGGTGCAACATCAGAATAATCCTGGATTTCCACATTGAACATGTTTTTTGTACGGTGCATTATACGAAAGGGGAAGATAAATAAATCAGCATTGTATAAAGAGTACCAGTAGGTGGCCATGGCAGTGTTTGATTATGCAAAATGCAGAATGTTTATCATAGCAGTGATAGTTTAGACTAGACAAAATGCATGAAAGGACAGTTAAAGAAAAGTAATTGATGATTAAATTCCCCTTTAAACAGTTTGAGTGATGGAATTTATACATATATCATTGCTTTGTAATGTTTTATATTATCCACTGTGACAAAAAAAAGAAAAGTAAATCCACATGAAATGAAACACTGTACAGGAGGAGATTATATCTCTTCATGTTTGATTTGTTTATCATTAAAAATATTAATTTATAAGTGCTTCACATTTAAAATAATATTTAGAAAGGTGGATATGCTTTAGATTTCATCTGCAGATCCAGTCTGTAAAAGCTTTTATTTTCTCAACCTAGAAGTGTAAACGGTATGAATTTAGTGCGATCGGTGAAAAGAAAAGGAAAATGGTGGGATCGAACTTTTCAAATGCACTAATGGATATTGTGCTATAATTTCAGACTTACATACATAATCAATGAGGAGTGGATATATTTTTTTAACATTCTTGTTTATATTGATTGTAAATAAAGGACTTTGGTGTTTTTACATGTGGCTGCTGTTGGTTTAATGTTGTCATCAGTGTCATCAGTACACAAACTGCTTAAAGGTAATATGCATGAAATTTACTCGCCACTAGATGTCACAAAAGAACAACTCTTAAAATCTAAAAAAAAAGAATAACAGTGGGCACTACAGCCAACCAAACTCCATTCATAAAACTAGTAATTTTACCTATCATATAATCTAAAAACAGACATCAAACTGGACTGAAACTGAACTGCCCCAGGCTGTCTTTGTTAGTCTTTCCAATCATCAACACTGGTTTAGTCTAAATAAAGCCTCAATTCACAGTTCACACAAAAATAGCCTAGAAACAGGCTGTAAGTAGTAAATGCAAACACGCCCGTCAAAGTACGTCCACTAAAAGCTTAACTTTTAAATTTTATTGTAACTTTATATACATACACCGAATAAAACTCACCAAAACAGTCTTTGTTAGTCTTCCCACTGTTCCAGTAATCACCAACTCTGGTTCAATCAAAAGAAATCTTTAATTCACCTACATAGTTGAGAAAAACAGCAGTTTCAGTCCAACACAGCCGAGGGAGTGTGACATAATTCTGCTAAGGACACCATGACTCTATTATATATTTATATTGCACATAGTTTGCTGCTCTATTAATGTTTTAAATCTCATATATCCTTTACAGCGACTTTGGTTTGTCACCTGGACAAACAGGAAGACTCCAGGATCTTCATTGTGTGTGCGTTCGCTGAAGGTTAGAATATGTCCTCCTACTATTTTCATGTTAGTTTGTATAGAAAGGTGGCTGTTTCTCTTGCCCGTGTGTAATGGGAGTTGGCTGGTTTCCCCTGTTCATTTGTCATGGGAGAAATAGCTGCTCCAATCAGCAGACAGTTGTTTTGTTTCCATTCATTGTTCTACAGGGAGTCAGCTGTTTGTCATCCTCAGTCTGATGGGATGGAGTTGTTTTTTTCTTATTCATGTGTAATGGGACACTGCTGGTGGTTATATTTAGTTGTAAATGGAAGCGGCTGTATGTTCTTCTGTTGTTTTCTATTGGGACCCTTTTGTCTTCCACTTTTACATCTCAGTGAAACAGGCTCTACATCTTAAGCCACTTTATTGTTTGTGTGTGTGTGAGAGAGAGACAGAGAGACAGATGGTTGCACCGTTTACCTCGGCTCCCCTCACAAACACTGTATTCTGAGGACTTAGACCAATTGGTATTCTGTGCATCACTCTGCACTGCAGCAAGACACTCGGCTGGATCTCTACCGGCTTTCCAGACTCCCTTACGTCTGTTCTGGGGTCAGATTTCAATACCTTCATCCGCATTCACAGGGAATATCATATCACTCAACTCGGGACTTTTTGTTATATTCTCCTGCACTCTTCGAAGACTGAGCCTTTATAACTTTAAGCAGACATTAAAAATAAGATGCTATTAACACTAATAACTCAAGTTTGACTCATCAGAACAAAACTGTATTTGTCATTTAGTCCAGACTGATGTGACTTTGTCCCAAGAGAATGTTTGATATCTGTAATTTGAAGCCATGGACCCTCATACACAGACTGACAGTACAAATGTCTGCCTGAAAAAAAAAGTACTCAAGGTCCACTTACTGCCTTTTCCTACTGCTTTTAACTGCAACTCTTTGTCATCACATTAAACCTAAATATGGCAGTACGTACTGCTATATCTACTATAGTAAGTGTTTAAGTTCTATAGTAATTTTAAGCTTTTTCCAAATGTTTGGTACTTTTGAGCTATCTTATTATAAAGTGTTTCTATTAATTTTGATTCGAGGAACGAATCAAAATATTAATACCAAATAGGAGACTAAATTATCTTTCTGTCTTGAAAAGACCCTGACAGCTTGATCATCATAACAGAGAGCTCAACACACACACACACACATTCACAGATAAACCCACATCATAATAACCCATTGACAGCGAGGTGAGCCTCTCCTGCCTTCCAATCCCTAAACTGGTGGATAAATGAGAAATGAAGGATTATTTCTATAAATCTGCTGCCTCCATGTGCTTGACTGAAACACACACACACACACAGAGGGAGAGACCCACATCTGCAGTGGAATATAAGCAGATTATTTCATGGGGCTGTAGTGTGGCATGAGTGTATACAGGACTGTCATCTAAAGAGGAATTCATAACAGTTCTCTGCTGCTTCCCCGTGCCTCTCTTCTTCTGTTTTGAAGTTTGTCGTCTTATGAGGGTTTGTTGAGAATGTTGCGCTCTTCTTTTTCTTCACCAACATCCTTCTTAAGATTCATAGATATTCACATTCACACCGCAGCTCTGATTATCACGACCTCAGTCTCACTTTTGCATCTTTTTTATTTTTTTATTTAGTTACTTGTTTCTCACAACTGGAAGCCGGTCACCTTTGATCTTCCATTTTCAGTATTCAGCTAAATTCTTCTCCTTCTCATGTTGCCTGTCCTCAGTCTGAACGCTGCTGGTCCTGAGCTGTTTGCTGCTGAAGGACGAACCAACCAGACAGCTAATCTCTCCGTGTTGCGTTTAGTCTGGTTTTTATGGTGTAATATTTAATTAATATTACACTGTAATAAGTAAACAAATTGTAATAAGTAGCATTGCCAGCTGACAATTGTTTTTTAAAATGAACACAAAACATTTTTGCTAAAGATCCTTTAAATTAGTTTTTAGAGATGTATCACCTATATGTGTACAGTGTAAAAATAAAGTTGTCAGCACCTCTCTGGTGAATAAACACAGTAATGGAAGCAACTAAATGACCTCAAACATATCGTTGGTGTTTCTATACCACGAAATTCTTTTTACTTTCCAGTCCTCATACTGTATATAACACCAATATATTTGTGAGAAGCTAAAATCAGCCAATAACACCGGTCCTGTCCCCCTCTAATGTACTCTTAATCAATAAGTCAATCAATCACGTCTCTCTCATACACCAATGTAAAAAGTAAAGCAACACGCAGTTAAAAACATAGATCATTTATTAAAAGAACACATGCTGCTACAGTTGTTGATAAAAACAGCTGCTGTCAGACCACTGGTACTGTAACAGTAGGAAAGTTACAATAGTAATATTGACTGAGGGTCACATCTTTTCCTACTATGCATCTCCACAGGAATACAAAACCACACCACATCCTCACACAGGGAACCTGGGCGGACTCAACAACGCTCTTTAAAAATAATAATAATAATAATAATAATAAGTGTGTTTGTGTGTGTAGGTCAGCTCCTCAGGGTTCTGTGGAGTTCCCACAAAATAAATTCATCAGAGTTCCTCAGTCCCGTCAATGAGCTTTGATCAGTTAAGATTCTGGCTGAATACGGTTACAGTGGTTTTAGGGTTCGATTCCCACACACACACACACCACACAGAATTTTTGCTCGTCTTATGTAACGTCAGACTTGAGAGTTTGATAAAAGGCTGACTGTCCCTTTGTTCTTCGCAGCGCAGAGCCGATCTGTCTGCTTTAAAATGTTCGTAACAAGGAAAATGTTTCTTGAAACAGGCAAAACAAAGGGCAAAAAAACACAGAAAATCACAGAATCGTTGAGAATGGAAAACAAACCAGTCAGCCAAACACGAGGGAACAGTTGTGACTGTGGACTGACGTTTTCTGGTTAAATACAACTGTGACAGAACTTTGTTTTTACAATGCACATTAGCAACTTCTTCTTCAAAAAAAGACAAAAAGTCAAAAATTAAATAAAGATATTTAAATAATCTGATTAAACTCATACTGCTGAGGCACTGGAAGCATCACATGGACATTTATCGTGTCCACCGAATGTCTTTGTTAAACGGATATGTTGCTCTGAATTTGGTTCGGCTTTTGAGAGTTTCAGCATGAACACAAAATGTAAAGCAATTTTTTTTTGTCCAGCAAAAATGACCTTATCATATGCAACAGGGAGCTTTCTGATTTAATGGATTAGTCACCTAGGTAGGTCAACTAGTGTGTAAACTATTCAAAATGTATATTACTGACATCACTGCTGTTAAAATGGGCCAAAGCAGAGATTCAAGATCTTCATGTGGTCGAATTTGTATCCAGCGTGGTCTTCAAAGTTCACCGATTTTAGAACAGACTACAGTACGTTTACCAGTACAGTGAGATTACGACTAAGATGGAGTTGAGAAACGCGGTATCAGCACTTTGGAAACGAATCAAAGGCCATCAAAAAGAACAACCTGCTACAACTACAAGCTGTTCTTTTCTTTTTTTTCTTTGAACAAATGCTTCTCATTCAAAATGATAGAGTACAATCAATGAATCAAACCCAAATGTCTTCATAAAACAGAATCGAGAAGTAAAACCACAAGCTGAAAAAAAAAACAAAACTAAAAAGGAAAACATTCAATAAGATAAATTGTCAAGCACAAAAGTCTCTATTGCAAACTGACATAAGAACAGGTTTCAGTTGCTACATTTAGTATCACTGTTTCAGGTTGTTTGGGTTGTTTGTTTTTGACTCCGGTCACAGTTTTTGAGTCTGTGCTGAGCGGTCAGGTAGTTTGTCACTGTTGTTGGGTAAAATCCTCCGGAACTGCAGTTCGGATCTTTGCAACGGGTGAAATTTGGGAACTTTAGGTCCTTAAATCTCTTGTATTTTGTATAGTTCCAAAAATACATGTGAGAATATGTACTCCAAAGATATGTAGCTTCTTCAGTGTGAATATGTATCAGTTCTTCCATCTGTTTGTCCACCACGCCGGTGTGTAATAGGATTTTAAATACTCAAAAAGCAAAAGCAGCGTTGTGCTTCTTTCGTCTGCTAACAAACATCAAGCCTGTAGAAAATATCAACACTTAACCTTCAATACAAATATTAACACGTTGAGCTGGTTGGTTTGCGCCAGAGTCGGAGATGTGAATGGTCAGATCTCGGCCTCTGGGCTGTGCTAATGGTCCACTACTGGCCAGACGTCAGAAATATGTAAAAATATTCTGCTTTTTCTTACAGCACCTTGAATCAGTGATAATGGCTCAGGCTGGATCTACACAGAGGGAAAGCTTTGTGTTATACGTTGTGAAGAAAAGCTACCAAGGGGTCCCGGTTAGAGTAGAATTGTTTTAAATGATGGTTTAAAATGTCATCTGTTCTTGTGTAGATCGAGCCACAAAGACCTTCCTCCTCCATCGTTTGAATTGTGGAAGACTAGGATTTTAGTTTTTTTTTTATCATCACCTGCTCTCTAACACAGTGTGTGCATAGCTTGTTGTTAAAACAAAAAGCTAGGGTAAAAATGTCCGTAGTTAAACACACTTGTTCTGTGAGCGAGAAGACACCGTGGAACATTCAAAGAAAAGTCAGAAAACAATCAGACGACAATAAATCGGAAATATTCTGTACACTGAAATCCTTCTGCTGATGACTGATCTGTGACCAAAACAAGAAAAATGAAATAGCCTTTAAATAGGTCTTTTGTTTCTAGCTCTCATTGCCACTTTTGGTTGCCAGATCTGTAAGTTGCCTGCTGCAGCTTTATTGAACAAAGGAAGTCGTCGTGCTTGATTTTAGGAAACAACTTTTTTCTTCAAATGAATCCTTCAGATGAAAACTATAGAAGTCAGTTGTCATTCTTCAAGTGTCCTGAAGGCCGACGGTTGTATCATCAATTTAGTTCTAAGTAGCCAGACCTTCAGAGATCAAGTTGCTTTTTAATTTAAAACAGATTTAATCTGAATAAAAACCCCATTTTCTAGACGCCCTTGAGCAACACATCTAACCCTTTAATTCTGTGGATAGAGCTGGTCAGGGCCAGCAGTGGAGGGTTGTACTTACATATATTTTCTTAATTAAAACTGACTTATATAGTTCTCAGTCTGAAGGCTTCAAACTGTACAGTACATTCTGTGGATGTAACAAACATGAATAAACATAGATGTATTTATGTGTACACATATATCTACTGTATCTAAGTACAGTATGACTAACAGCATATGTTAGATATCCATTTTGATTTCAGGTTTCTGTACTGTGTGATACGATATCCGGCTTTGATATGTGATATTCTGCCGTCATTTCAAGCATTTGTATCAGAACTGGTACAAATATCGGCGTGAGATTTCAAGCTTCTCAGCTTAGATTCATCGAAGGCCTCAACAGGAGAATCCAAAAAACCTCAAACAAATTCAAACTCGTTTGGGTTTATTGGACAATCCTTATGATACATCACGCATACGAGCGTGAAACAGTGCATACAGTACTGAATGGGCTCTCATAGGTCACTTGGTACTGAAGTTTCACAGAGCGAAAGAATGATTTATCAAGCTGCTCTGAGAACTTTAGTGGTTTCCTGACACTTATTTGTCTCCTGCAAAGTTAAACTTTGATATTTGCCAAACACAAAGCTGAGCAGATTTTCACCCTCATGTGTCTTTTGACTCTGAATCACAATAGATTTCTATTTTAAACCAAAAGGCAATTCATCATTGACATTAAAACATGACAAATCTAAATAATAGAAAAGTATTTTTGTGAGCAAACAATCATTTCAGAGCCTTCGAAGGGCCTGACCCTAAGCTCCGGGCCGCCTTTAATATCCGCAGACAGCGTGCACAGAGTGTTGTATCCCGCTGCCACGTAAATCTGTCTTGAATGAGGCCTTTGTTACAATGTGTTCACCCAGCCAACAACATCTGCCTTCACTTCTTGTTTGTCTGAGTGGACAAACTGGCTGCGGCTGAACTGGGACCAGCTGAATCATTTTATTTTCCAGCTGTGAAGGCAGCATCCAGCTGGCTAACAGCTCACAGTTAGTTTACTGTGTGAACACACGGGTTGGCTACTGCTCAGTTTGGTCGACACATATGAAACTCCACTTGCCTTCTGCTGCTGACTTGTTCTGGAAATACTATTGATTGAATGTTTTTTAAGGTACTTTGAGTGAGATCAGAATACGTTTAACCAACAATGTTCTCATTCGCCAAACATTTTAATCTTAGGTAATGTAGCTTTAGTATTTTTTTTTTTACTACAATTACTGTCTAGGCTATTATTATTTTCCCAAATATGAGAAACTACAAGTTGATTAAAGGGATGATTTTTCTTTTTTCTTGTGTAACACTGGATACTTTCACTTCTTCAGGCCTCCAAAGTCCACTGGTTTGGATGAGTGGTTCCCAACCTTCTTGTCTTTGACCCCTTAAAATGAAGCTGTGTCTATTTGTGGCCCTTCATCAAAGGTTATGGGTTCAGTGGACGTGAGGGCTGTGAGCTGTTCTGAAGAGGTGAAAGTAACCCAGTATTACTCAAAAAAATATTAGCAAAAAAAATAAACAAAATGTTGTGTAACTGAATATTTAAAAGAAATCTTTCTCATCCCTTTAATAAAGTAGTGAACCCTCCAATTCTTTCCTGCTCCACGGGTCTAGATTGTAGAGTCATTTTAATTACAGGGGTCGGTGTGATTTCTGCACCTGTAAAGACACCCTGCAGCTAAGTTTCCATCCAACAAGAGATTTTTTTCCTTTGCGGTTACACAATAAATAAAAATAGAAATCAATTTGATTAAATAAATAATGATGTTGACCCATTAATAGTAAATATGAAGACATAAAGGAGCAGGCTTTGTCAGCCTGAGTATTAAAATACTGAGACTGCTCCCTGTTTGTACAACAGTAGTCTGTATTTTGTCTGTCTGGAGGAGTTTCTTTCTGATGTTCAGAATGGATGGAAACAGAGCTGTGGTTATGTATTCAGTTATGTGTCAACAGAGGGCAGAGGAAGAGGAGAAGAGGAGAATGAAGAAGAGGGGGGGTACGGGAGGTTTGCCGCAGTGCTCTAATGATCATTCTCTGATCTTCTGCAGTGAATCCTCTCTCTCTCTCCTCACTCCTGTCCTCTCCTCTTCTACTTCCTATTCCTCTCCATCGACTCAGTGTCTTTGATTTCCCTGCATGCTTTATTCAACGCCCTCTCCTTATTCTACACTCGTCCACTCTGATCGATGGACCCTGAACATGGAAGCCTTCTTAGTCATCATATTTAAACTGAAGCTGCTGGTTCAGGAAGGTTTTTGGAAAAAATCAAAGCGTACCTAAAACATTCCTTTAGTGATCTTTTTCTTAAAGACGAAGCCAAAGTACAGCAGTAGTTGAGCAGGCGTGTGAGAATAAAGTGGGATAACAACAGCTACACCTGTGAATCTCCTGCTCCCTTATGATCTCATGTTTGGCTGTCTGCCTGAAGCCTCCAGGCCTCAATGAACGCCGTCATGTTGGAAAACTGACAGCAAAGTGAAAGAGTCACCTCCCTGACAAAAGATATTAAATGCCTAACTTCTCTGTCGTGAAATTGTGCTAAAGAAGTCCTACTATGATAACTGATTATTTTATACAATAATATGCCAAAACCACCAATAAATTGACTAAGTCTTAACATCTTTTTGCTGTGACTCTTCCATCGTGGCTATTTGTCTCTCTCAACCAATACGTTCAACTATTTTTACTGACATATCTACCTTTTCTTCTCTTCCTGTTGTAACCCTTCTCTAGACACATGGTCACTAAGGGGGTCACAGAAATACTTACTGGTATCTGTTGTCAGGACACGATGGCTCTCAGCCTTTAATTCCTTCCTGCCAGTTGATTAAAATGTTGAAAATCTAGACATAAATTGATATTACTGATATCTTCTGAAACTTATCCTACATCAAGAGAGTAAAGTCCTTCAGCTACGTGACTGAAATGTGTCAGTGTAAAACAAAAGAGCGGCCAGTGTCCACTATGAAGTATTAAAACCAGACCAACTGTCACTTTCTGTCTAAAGCTTCTAAGAAGTTCTTCCTGTTCAAGCTCAGAAAAGCTCTCGTCGCATATTTTTGTGTTCATCATCCACCTTGTCTGTGTGAGATCCAGCTGCTCCAGCTGCAATGACTCCTCTCATAAAAACACTGGTGGCAGGTAGAGACTCTTGGATCGAGGTGGCTGAGGAGGCTGGACGGATTTGGGATGATTGGGAGGTGAAGAAGGGGGATCAGATGCGGATCTGGTAGCCGTCGTTGAGAGTGCTGAGCTCTGGAGGTTTCCTCTCCACCGAGGCCGGCCTGACAGAAAGAGAGCAGACAGACGATTAGATCATGTCTACTAAAAGCAACGCAGTGGCATCATGGAAGTCCTCCTCCTGGCTGACACTGAAAATGTTACACAGGAGAACTAAACTAGTACAGACCTCAACTAAAAGATCCAAAACTTGTGAAGAATGTCCATTAGAGTGCTGGTTTAAAATGCTTGTTTTGTCTGACCAACAGTGACCAAAGAGATTCAAGTTACTTACGCAGAAGACTAAGAAAACCAGCTAATATTCATATTCGAGAAGCTGAAACCAATAACCTTCCAATCCCCTTCCAGACTAACCATTCTTATTGTCAGGTGATTATACACTAATGAAAACATACATATGAATATTGTATTCAATTTCTGCCAATAGATGTTTGTGATGATTATAAATTTTTAAATGTTTTGTCAATTGGCTGTTTCAAAGATCGAGAATGAACTTTCAGACTTAGGCCTGTAAATGTTTATAAGGCAGAAAATGGTTCCAGTCTGTATATTTGAAGAGCACCTAGAACATGTGCAGTGCAACTTGTTGAGAAATGTTTGTTTACTCAGATTTCTGCAGTGAAAGGAAAAAGCAGGAAGACGGAAAATGAGAAACAGATTCATCTCTTTCTCATTTCTCAGAGGTCCTAAAAGCTAGAAACTCATCAGATTTAATCCTCTGTGCTCTTTCTTCCCTTCTTCTTTCCCTCTCTTCATATCATCTCCTCCTCTCTTCTTCTCTCTCACTCTTTTCTTTATGCTTTCCAGCATTCACTGACACATCAAGGAGAAGGGTTATTTGTTGAAGCCAATCTGTTGAGCTGACAGCTTTTTTATTCCTCTTCTTCTCTCTCTATTTTCCTTCCCTCTTTTCTTTCCTGTCCTCCGCCTGGCCTTATCCTCTTTCCCTCTCGACCTTTCTTATCCTCTCTTCTCGGCCTCTTTCACATTTTCTTCCCTCCTTTCCTCTCATCTTTCTTGCTCTTCTTCTCACCTTAAATCTTTTCTTTATCCTGTTCTTGTCATCTTGCAGTCTATCGATTCTTTCTTTGCTTTCTTTCCATCTATCTCATATTCTCTTTGACTACCTCTGCATAGAGGGAAGCGAGGAAGTGAGAAGTTCACAGAATTGCATTTCAAAATCTATTTGAATCTTGTTTAATGTATTTCAAGACTTTTTCACTTTAATTCTTTTTTTTTTTCCAATGTTCTTTTATTAATTTAGTTGTTTGCCGTATTTGTTTGTGTATAGCAGGCACCAAAACATCTTACTCATGCTGCTAAAATAACTGCGCTGTTCAAGTGTCCAAGCTCTCAGCTATTTAAACCAGCAGCAGATTATTACACTGTCTCTGCTGGAGTTGTCTGTCTGAAGTGGTAACATGTTGTTAAGTGTGTAACTGCTCTGTTGATAACAGTAATAGCTTTTTAAGTACCACATTCAAGTAGTTTAAAGTGGTAATGTGCTGTTCCGCTGTCCTGATCATCACTCGTCTGAACTGATGAGACAAAAAACTTTTATGAAGAATAAAATGACAATTATTAATTTGACTGAACCCTGAAGGGAAAAGACGCACCTTCCTCTCACTTGCATGCTTCTGTTTATCTGCAGCTCCTTGTGATTAATCACTATATCCATTCAATGATGAACGATTCAATATCATTGATGCAAAGTAATAACATCGACCCATATCACCACCTTTACGATGCATATTAATTCCCACGGCATTCAATATTCAGACAGTAAGTAACGATCATTATCTGTCACTGTGTTTTTTCAGTTTTTTATAAAGATGCAATGATACTTCTGGCGGTTTAACTTAGTTGAATTTTTAACTTACACCTGTTGGTAGGGCTGTGCTGCTGCTGGGACCCAAAGTTAATCTTGACCTCAACAACAAACTCTTAATTGTTTGCCTTTTGTGAAAGGAGGCAGCGAGAAAGTGAGTAATGATTTTCTGCCCTGTTGGATTGTTGGGAACTGTTTTAACTCTACTCTCTCTCCCTGACTGTTGCCTTTCAAACCTGTTACTGACTGCTCGTATTAGTGACTGTCACTATCCCGTTCATCATGTAACTGATTGTATTAAATGTACATATGATATTGTCTCTATCCATTGCAGAGCCCTGGATTTAATGGAATCGAAATCGTATTGGTTTCATTACTCAACACTAGGGGGCGTGGTGGTTTAATGCAGACTGCTCACTAATTTTCCTTCCTTCTTTTGTTGTTTTATATTGTTTTTCTGGTTTTTACTCTGAAACACTCCAAGCTACCGTGATCAGTATTTGAACTATACAACTTCTGTACTCCTGGTTAATATTTGATCTTATCAGAGGATTATTATATCTGTCAGAAAGGACAAAAACAAACAAGGAATATAACTTTGAGTATAAAGTTTGACAGTTAAGATATGTTGCAATAATTTGTGCTGTATTTTCAATTGAGATATTAACTTAGGCTCAAAGCTAGCAGTGGACAAACCACAAACACACACACTAATGCAAAGCTTAGGTTGATAATATCTGTGGTTACGGCTTACATATCAACTGCAATATTTGATCTTTTTAAAGCTGAATTGCATCATGGGGGTTGAATTCACTTCCACAATTTTTTCGACAGAAGGGAGAATTTAATTTTAGGTGACTGAAAGCCCTTCTTTCTGTGTTACTGTTTTTCTAAACACACGCGTCTGAATAATTAGACACTTAATCCTCCTAAAGCTCCTCATAAGAAAGGTCATCGCACTGCCACGTCAAACGGCTACACCGGGAATGTCACTAATTCTGGTGCAGCGTGTGTGTGTGTGTTTGTGGTGACTCTGCAGTACGGCTGGGCTGCAGCTGTTGTCCGAGTCAGATTGTGTTACATACCACCACACAGCTGACGGCACACACAAACACACTCAGCATCCCGTGTGTGTGTGTGTGTGTGTGTGTGTGTCAAAGTGCCATTGAATTGGGTGGTGAGTCACCCTTTTTTTAAGAGCTGCTAACCCTGAAAAAATGTTATCCATCCAGGTTTCAGTTGAGAGTTTTAACACAGTTTCAGTCAACAGTCTTTTTACAAGACTTTAGATATTACATTAATTACATTAGACATTACTTAATTTCCTCTTTTCACTTGTTTGCCAAGGCTTCAAACTAAGATAATAACTAGGAAAAAAGCCATGTATGTAAAAATATGTAATACAGGAATGTACCTGGATGAAGCTGATTGTATTAATGCTGAATTAAAGAGTGGCTCCTAATGATGCAAACAAGCTCTTTATGCATGTTATTATTGTGGCCACTGAGCAAGGCAGCTTTAAATTTCCAAATCTTTCTATGGAGTTTTGTTTTATGTTCCCTCCAATCCTGCACCTCAGTCAGAAGGAGAGAGGCACTTTGCCACTGAGTGTTGGTGGTACACATAGACACCACGATGATAACGCATAGTGTCAGCTTAACAGAACTAGGACCCGTCTGCCTGGTGATAATGCTGAGCTGTCTGCAACAAGACACACAGATACAGACACACACACACACACACACACACTTTAGTTTAAACTCTCCTTGACCTGAAGAAAAAATGTAGAGAACAGCAGAGGGGGAGTTAGGAACACACAAGAATCCACCATTTCCACACTGGTGAACTCACTAGGAAGTTTGAAAAAACTACAGCCATTATTTCACCTGTCTAAAAATGTTGTAAGCTCCTAAAAATGTCAAACACACACTGACACACACACACACACCAACACCACACACACACACACACATCATCTGCTCCAATTTTTTTGCAGGAAATTGACAACCGATGAAAAACACTCACGATTTGTCTCTGCGATGTGTAATGCGTCGCTGCGGACTGATCTGTCGTCGCCGTGGTGATAAGGATTTCCCCCGGCTCCGCTCCTTGATTGGTGACTGGGCACTAGACGATTTAAGGATCTGACAAGAAAAATCACACAAAGTAAAAAGTCAATATCACAATTTCTGAGATCATTGAAACTTTAATGAGTAACAGTACCGATAAACATCCACACTATAGCTCTACTGGGCTTTTTAGCCTCTTTTAGCT